TGCATGATGAATTGCCTCCAATTCAGCCGTGAATACTGACTGACCATCAGGCAAGCGAACTGAATGTGCTTGGGGTTTGGAGCTGTGGATATGGATCCCGTAACCAGCACTGTTGTTGATAGGATTCTTGGATCCATCAGTGTATATATGGGCCCAGCTGTCCCAGGTAGTTCGAATTTTAGTGATAGCTACTGATCGTAGTAGGGTTGGGTTTTCTCTTTTAGTGACTTCTGATGTTAAAGCAGTGTCAACTTTGGGAGTTTGTAAAGTCCAGGGAGGGTGTAACCCTTTGTAGTGACTTTCTGGAGGCTGAATGTCATCGCAATTGTTACTTCAAAAGAGTTCACGTACTAATATCCCAGATGGGTTTAGTGAGGGATTTCAGCTAGGGCTTCATCTCAAGTGTTTTTGTCTTGCCATATCTTTTTAACCAAAGGGTTTGATGTTCGTCCCCAGAACGATAATATTGCCTGCTCCCTTCATAGTTTCAATGGGAGTTCTTCCGTTTCTACTTGTAGTGCTTCTAGTGAGGTACCTGTTGCTGCGCCTGTGGCCAGCATTATGGCTTTGTATTGTATTCTGTCTGGGCGCCTCAAGACAGTATTTGATGCTGAAGGAAAAGCCTCACAACCATAGTCAATTTTAGATCTGATAAGAGATTTGTAGATGTCCACCTGAGTACCCCAAGATGTGCCTGAAATTGCCCGTAATACGTTCAGGTCTTTTTGACATCTGTTTTCCACATATTCTATATGCTTGTGCCAAGTGAGGTGTTGATCAAGGATCACCCCAAGAAATATTGCAGATTTTTCGAATTTGATAGGTTTGCCTTTTATGGAGACACAGGGTATCATAGCATCTTTCCCCTGGCGTTTGAATAGAACTCCAACAGTTTTTTCACTTGAAAGGGTGAATCCCCATTTATTGCACCATTGATGTACTCCGTCCAGGGCTGACTGGAGTCTTTTTCTGATTTGTGAAATATCTCTTTGCTTTACCCATATTGCTCCGTCATCAGCGAATTTAGAAGTTTGGGTAAGAGAGTTGACATGGTCAAAAAGATCATTGATCATGATATTAAACAGGGTTGGGCTTATAATGCTGCCTTGTGGCGTGCCATTATCCAGTGCCATAGGATCAGATTGATTGTTCCCTATTTTAACTGATAGCGACCTGTCTTGCAGAAAGCTGTCTATGAAGTTTGCCATGTTCCCTTCTACTCCATTTTGTGCTAGTTTTGAGACGAGTCCATCATGCCATACCATGTCGAAGGCTTTGCTGAAGTCCAGAAATACTGCGGCTAGGTATTGTCTGTTTAATTGAGCTTTTTTTATTTCATTTTCCAGTCTTAGAATATGATCTAGACACGAGTGTCCCTTCCTGAAGCCACTTTGGTCAGGTTTTATCTGGTTGCCAGTTTCAAGGTGATGCATGAGTCTTTTTGTAACCATGGCTTCCATGGCTTTGCACATGTTTGAGGTGAGTGAGATCGGTCGATTAGAGTTTGGTAGGGCTTCGTCTTTCCCTTGCTTTAGCAGCAGGATAACTGCAGCGTGTTTCCATGCTTTTGGGACTTCTCCTTTGGACCATATCGTGTTATGCAACTCAGTGAGTAAGCCTTTGGTTTGATCAGGTAGGTTTTTCAATATCTCATAGCTGGTTGTGTCAAGACCAGGTGCTGTGCCTTTTCTATGTTGTATCGCATCATCAAACTCTGTCACAGTAAATGGTATATTGTATACCAGATGTTTGCTTTGCGGCCGTTTTGAGATCTTAGGCATAAGCATTTTTTCCTGTTTGAATTCTTCGCTGCAATTTGTGTTGCTGCTGACAGATGAGAAGTGCTCAGCTAGAATGTTGGCCTTTTCTTTGACTGTATGGGCGTTGGCTAACTTGGGAATTTTTGTGGGTTTACGCTTACCCCTGATTGCGTGTATTTTGCTCCAGACTGTTTTAGCATTTGTTTTCTCATTAAGGGATTTGCAGAAGGTCTGCCATAACTCTTTTTTAGAATCGTCTATGAGTTGTATTACTTTCGTCCTGGCTGCTCGGACTTGGGCGAAGGCTGATTTATCCCTTTTTGACCTATTTAGGGCTTTCTTTCTCATTCTCCTAGCTTTTGCTATTTCCTTGTTCCACCATGTTACTGGCGTTTTGCCAGTTTTGTGGTCTTTTTTTTGGAATTGATTTTTCAGCTGCGGCAATAATTGCTGAGGTGAGATTTTGGCAAAAAAGATCAGGATCATCCGAGGCAATTTCTGAGGACTTGAATGATATACATTCCTTCCTGAATTAAGGCCAATCAGCCTTTGCATAGTCCCATGTGGGCTGAGGATTGGGCTGTTCCTCTAATTGTGGTGGGCTACCTATGTAGGTGAGTATAGGAAGGTGATCGCTTCCCCAAGTGTCGTCATGGACTTGCCATTGGCAACGTGAGGCGAGGTTTTTGGTGGCAATTGTGAGATCAATTGAACTCCACGTGTTGTGGACTTGGTCAAAACGTGGGTGACTGCCGTTGTTCAGAGTAATGAGATTGTCGTCCTCAACCCATTTCTCTACCATTTTGCCGTACTTGCATGGAATAAGAAACATAATTAAATCCAGTATGACGTGATGTGTAAGCATACAGAAAACTAAGAGAGCCCATCTTACTTCAGTTTCTGTACTGTACTTGGGCTTACCTCCTTTTGCATCCTGCGTATCATTCTACCTGTCGGATCGACTTGACCCGGGGGGTTAATAATCTTAAACATCACGACTGTAAAACAAAGTTGCCAAATATATAAAGAACTTTAATTCATGGCGTCTTTTAACCATCACGACAATAATACTGAGTGGTCCAAGTCAGGTTCAGGAGAAGTGTGTTTTCACAGAACGAGCTTTGTCGGAAATGGCTGCTTGGAGATGCAGCACATATTCTCGCAGTATGGCAGATTACAACTGTCTCAGATAATCCTGTTTTCCTAAACACACACATAGATAATAGAAGCATTAAGCAGGGTTGAGGGAGAGGTTTATCCTGAAATCCAAAGTGTCTCACCTTACCTTCTCCAAGTGTTAACCTGTGAGTATGATCCTTGACAACAAACACGACGGAGTAGGTAAAAGCAAGGGATTTTCCGTCCAGACACATACCATGAAAAAACACATTTGGTGATACATCTGTGAGGTTTAAGATGAATTTGACAGCCCGGGCCAAGTCGGACCGAACACTTCTGACAGAGATTTTCTTAAGAAAATACAGTAAAAATGCTTCACTTTGAGCCCCTTGTTTTCTTTAAATACGATGTACCTTGACATTATAAAGTGGTATATAGGTAGATATAACACTAATCTATAGATGTAAACACATTTGAAGATAGAGATCTGTGTGTTTAAAGTTGATTTTGACCGCCCAGGCCAAGTCGGACCTAACACATGCCAAACACTTCTGACAGAGACTATGTTGAGAATGTAGAGGGAAAAGGGCTTCACTTTGAGCACCTTGTTATCCTTAAGTACAGCGACCTGAGACACTATAAAGTGGTATTTAGGTGGATATAATACTAATCTATAGATGTGAATCCATTTGATGATACACCTGTGAGGTTTAAGTTGATGTTGACAGCCCGGGCCAAGTCGGACCGAACACTTCTGACAGAGATTTTCTTAAGAAAATACAGTAAAAATGCTTCACTTTGAGCCCCCTGTTTTCTTTAAATACGATGTACCTTGACATTATAAAGTGGTATATAGGTAGATATAACACTAATCCAAAGATGTAAACACATTTGAAGATAGATCTGTGTGTTTAAAATTGATTTTGACCGCCCCGGCCAAGTCGGACCCAACACATGCCAAACACTTCTGACAGAGACTATGTTGAGAATGTAGAGGGAAAAGGGCTTCACTTTGAGCACCTTGTTTTCTTTAAGTACAGCGATCTGAGACACTATAAAGTGGTATTTAGGTGGATATAATACTAATCTATAGATGTGAATCCATTTGATGATACATCTGTGAGGTTACAGTTGATTTTGACAGCCCGGGCCAAGTCGGACTGAACACTTCTGACATAGATTTTCTTAAGAAAATACAGTAAAGGAGCTTGACTTTAACGGCCAAGTTTTCTTTAAATATGCCATATACTGTAACATTATAAAGTGGTTTATCATATAATGGGTAGGTTTCTCGGCAGGATAAAGCCAACGGATAAAAACGATATCCGTTGGGGTCATATGCGGATAGAGATGCAAATATCAAAGGTCAAGTAGGGACTACTTTCCATCCCCAAACACACTCGCGTGATAACCCATATATATATAGGTAGATATAACACTAGTCTATAGATGTAAATACATTTGAAGATGGAGATCTGTGTGTTTAAAGTAGATTTTGACCGCCCGGGCCAAGTCGGACGCAACACAAGCCAAACACTTCTGATAGAGAGAATGTAGAGGGAAAAGGGCTTTACTTTTGAGCACCGTATTTGCTACTGCAATATGAGACACTAAAGTGTTATGTAGGTAGATATAATACTGGTCTATAGATGTAAAGTATGTGTTGTAATTTTAGAAGCGCTTTGACAGTTATTAACACGTGTCGTGTCAGCCCTATGACATTCGCGAATATCCACTTGCAGAAAACATCCTGTTTTGGTTTAACATGAATTAGTAAAGGTTAATTAGGGATGCCAAACACGTTAATTAATGAAAGAAGAGAAGTCAAAACACTGTCATTTCCTGCCCAGGACATCACACCCCTGCACGCTAAGGTCGGTGAGAAACCTTCTCATCAAAGAAAAGACACAGTCAAGACACTGACTTTTCGGTATGAACTCTCGGTATGTAGCTATAATTATTAGTTTATTACATTGCTGAAGATGCATTTTCATTCAAACTCAATTAAATGAGGAAAACTATACGTTTCTGGACAATTGAAATCTGCCTACATATGCACGTTTCATTTTATTATTCTGCAATCCATTTTTAGTATTACCCGCTGGCCTTGCCCGGCCCGACTTATCTTGGCCCGACTATTAGGCAATCCCACATTGTGGGCGGATATAACATTCACTGTAATCAGGGAGAGCGTTTGGTGACGACAGGACGCCACTATGATCATGTACTGTTGCATGGGATTATGTCTGTTGTTTGGGCCGCTGGTCTCAAGTAAGTGTTACATATATTGGTCATAACATATTGTTTATATGTGAAATTGTAACTTGACTAAATGATAACAAGACACACCGTATGTATCTTCAATTTGTGAATGTGTCTGGGAATGTTTTGTATGAAATAGTCTCCTCTCTTCACTATCGGGTATGTGGCTGCATATCGGAGACACGGCCTGTCGGCTGTTTAAACAAGATGGCGGACTCCGCTTTTGCTTAAAGGGCAAGTTCACACGGAAATGAACCTAAATTTCTTGTACTTTTTCCACAATAAAAGTGTTAACCTAGAAGTGTCATAGACAAAAATATAAAAATATCACAATTAATCAACATATGTTTTGCATTAAAACGATTTATATTTTTCACATTTACCAAGTGTTCTATTTCCATAACAAAAACACCATGGCTTGTGCCCCTTGCAATATGACGTCATTGGTGCCAATTGATAAACATTATGACGTCATCATGCTTTGTTAGAGCCGCTTCACGTGGTGTAGGTACAGGTGTGTGATTCTAGCGTCTCAGATGCCAGCCAGCATAGTGTTATGCTGAGTCATCACTGCGCCGGAGTGTGTCGTAGGCCATGTTGTTTTACCAAAAACTTGTACTTGATATCTTTTGCGTTCAGAATAGACAGGGACCCAGTTGAATTGGCACCAATTACGTCATAATCTAAGGGAGATAACTCAGGCCTGTTTAGCTCGAAAAACGAAGGCCTCATAACGGCATATCATTTTCACACTATTGTGAGCTTCCTACTTTCACTGTGAAAAAAATGAGTGTATATTTTCAAACACAGATACTAACTAATTCTAAAATTGCGTTTTGTTTAGAAAAAGAAAGAAAGTAATTTTTGCGTGTACACTTCCCCTTTAATGTTCTAGACTGCAGTCAACATAAACACCTAAACAATGTAAAATGACGCGGCACACAGCAACTATCACTTCTGCCTCCTATATATATCTAATATATGTGAGGATATCAAATTATCAAGTTGTTTACTTAATAATAATAATAATAATAATGATAATAATAATAATAAGAAGAATGCATGTTCGACCCAGAATATGTAGAAGGTGTCTTGGAAATGATATATGTCCGACTCCCCATTGTCTCTGTCCCTTAGGTTTGGTACCTCCCACTACATGTATGTTGACTGACATTTTGAGAGTACCCGGGTTTGCTACCAGGAATACAGCCTTTCTGACAATCTGCAGAAGGCTGCAGTGTTTGGGAGCTTCACATTTTTCAAAAAGGTCTTGGTGGGTTTGACTAGGCAGCGCTTCCTGGGAGAAGTCCCATTTGCTGTCTGGGCTGCGTGTAGAGGGGGCAAGGGCCCTGAGCTGATGATGAGCCTAACAAGCCTGGTTGTGCCAGAATCACCCAAACCCTCTTTGTTACATTTTCTATTTTAATCTTACTCACCTCCTTTACATGGATGACCTTGAACTTATTGAACATTCTTCACCTGAAACGTGGCAAGGTAGAAGAGGGAGGATCAGTCAGTTTACTTGGAGGAGGAGTTATTGACCATCTTGTGGGAGGTCAGGCCTATACGTACTTAGGGATGTAGATTTTCCATATCAAGGAAAACTTCGGGCAGTGTCCAAATGTAGACTAAAGAAAATCTGCTGAACACTCGCAATAAAGTAAAAAGCCACAAATACTTATACTGTACCTGTCCTTTCATATTCTTTTAGGGGCGGTCGGGATCCAACGGGATGTGAAATTGCATTTTTCCATTAAATTTTATGTGAATTAAAAACTCGCCTGTTACAGGATTATCGAATTGCTGAGAACGATTGTTTAGTTGACCCAGGAACATGTATTAAAACTTCATTGCACTCGGATGACATTTCAAACAACTTGTATCCGACAGAATGTGTATTTTGTTTTCCTTTGCAAAAGGTATGATATGAGCTAAGTCCCAATAATCTCAAAGAAAGCAGATACGTTACAACGGATAATTTTGTTCACACATTGCGAACATTGTGGAATTTTGTCAATGCACTGCTAACTGTCGACATGTTCAGGCACGCGATTATGAAGAAAATGTTGCCCTAATTCTATTCAGTGCTGCGCTCACTATCTTCGTTTGCTTCGTATTATACACAACTATATGTGAACTATATATATAACATTAAATTTTGGTTGTGTTCATTGTAGTTCCAGTATTCTGATTAGCTGATGAATCGAAAAACCGATGTGTAAACTTTTGTAAGAATCCACTGCATGGAATCACAAAGTTTACACATCGGTTTTCGATTTATACCTCAATGAACCGACACAAATACAACGTCAATCCTTAAATAATATATTCATATATATATGAAACAGTAATAGTAGTTTATCTTAACCCTTCTTCCTTGAATAACGCATAATTGTATTGTTTCCAGATAATTTTAGGGCATCATTAAAATGTCATTTTGTGCATATACATGCATGATGCCATCCACATTCTACAAGTTATTACATCATCAGCTTCATTATCTGAGGAACCAGTGTTATTCATTTGACGGTTCGTCAAGTAATGAATAATCAAACCCGTGAAGGTCCGGGTTAGAATAGGTCTTCAGCAACCAATGCTTGTCCCCCATGAAGATCCGGGTTAGAATAGGTCTTCAGCAACCAATGCTTGTCGTAAAAAGGGGTCTCTGTGTGTAATGGTCATAAACTTAAAAGATGTTTTCATTTTATGATGCTTCAGTTGGGTATCAAGGTAGACTATTTATATTTTTCTTAAGCCCAATGGGGTGCGCTGTGCACTAGTCTATTTATAGATGCATATAATCAAGGAATGTAAGGCATGCACATAGCCACATGGCAGCTGGCTAGGTAGCCACATGAGTTGATAAAAGTGGTCAACAACTAGGTAAATACAACAGCATTTTCACTAATATCTTTAGTTTTGGATGTATAATTGTGATATTATGTATTTGAATTAATTACATTGCTTCTGGTAAATAACATTTTTGTAATTACCATAAATTTCCTAACGTGTCCTAAAATCAATGTTCTTTTGCAAAGAAATGTTTTTGAGTATAGTTTATTTGTATTTACAATCTAGAGTAATGGTATTTTTGCTTTATTTGCAGTCAATCATGACATGAAATGAAATGAGATGAAATGAGATGAAATGAGATGAAATAACATGAAATGAAATGACATGACATGAAATGAGATAAATGACATGAATTGACATGAAATACTCATGCAACACTCATGAAACAGAATAAAATAGACAGAAATCCAAAGATGGAATTGTTTTCATTTGAAAAGTATCAGTGTGATTTTTGAAGTGAACACTGTGCTTGTCGTATGAGGCGACTTATGGGATCGCTGACTTGATTGATGCATGTCATCGTATCCACATTACATGGATCGATGCTCATGATATCAGTCACTGCATTGTCTGGTCTAGACTAGATTATTTACAGACCGTCATATGGCTGGAATATTGCCGCGTTAAACAAGAAACAAACAAAACAATGAACCCTCATTGTTCCTGAAATAGGTGAATATTCCTAGAATGTATACATTTCCATATACGTATATACAGTTAACTTTTTCTTACAGGCGCGGGTAACGTTACGCTCTATGCTCAAAGGGAACCGCTGAATTTCACATCTCCTAACTACCCAAGCAACTACACTAGGTACGTAAAGGGATATTCCTCTTCATGTTTTTCAAATCTCTCAAGGAACATGTGTCCTCGTGTATATCCCCAAGATTTATGTACATATATATATGCTTATTGTATATTATAATCGTTAACATTAATACGTCAAGCATTGCAGAATTAATTACGAACAGGTTGATGTTGGTCCCGCAATATGTGCAGGACATGTTGCTTTAGTTCCTAACATTTTTTTCTGCAGCAATGACAACTGTTATTGGGACATCTACCCTCAAACAAGAGGGTACAGAGTTGTACTCGACATGGTGTTCACCGATATTGAAGGCTCGACCGGATCCGTTTGTCCATATGACGCCCTAACCATATACACAAGAAATAATGGTAAAATATACACTGTAGTAGAACATTGAAAACTTTATCTATCTCAAATAGATTCAGAAATAAATAATTATTGTTATACAGAGCTATATTAAAGAATATATAGCAATATGGATTGTTTGATTATATGTAAAGTGATTGAAGATGTTCTGAAAAGGCTTATCGCCTGCTGGTTATTGCATGTCATTGCAATATGTTTTCACAAATATTTTTAATGCGTCATTAGCATGTTACTCAGACAAAGTATAATACTTATAACACGTTCGTGTTTCATGATCTCTGTGGAACATTTCTGAAAGAAGCTTATTGATATTAGCTACGTTTTGATTTGCAGACATTCTACTGTTTGTTAATTTGCAATTCTATTTAAGCTGAATCATTTTTCAAAACTGTTACTGACACAAAGATACATTTAATGTTGTAACAAGTAATTACTATTTATAAACAGCCCAAAATACACGACTAACAAAATGATTACTGACAATTATATTTTTTCCACCCTAGATGATCAAAACGTAGCCGATTCACACAGAATTTGTGGACAAAGCAGATGGAATCTTATTACCCGTGAAGACCAACATTTTCATGCAGTGTTCGAGACTGATGGCAGTGTAACCAGAGGCGGTTTCCTAATTAGATATTATGAAACAGACGGTGAGTAAAACCATGACCTTGTTTATGCGACTTCCTTTTATTATGTGCAGTACCTCAAAACCTTTAAATTGAAAACACGATCGGTTTTTGTCCATTCTGTCATGACAAAATGACCATTTGAACGTGAACTAATTGGTAATAGTGGACGTCACCGGTGATGTGAAATCGTAGTGTCTAATATTTCCGTTGCATAAATGGATAAAAAATCAGGAATCAGTGAAGATCACAAATATGTTTACTTTGATACATAATATCTGAATCCCTTGATCAAATAGAAACAATACACCATGCCTCGTAGTAAACCTGTAAAACATATTCCAAACGAGGCAACCCTTGCAATGACGAGGTTAATTGTTTTCCGAATTCATTTCTGATTCTAAAAGATCATTGTAGCATATGTCAAAATCAGTAAACAATACAAATTTTCTTTGACTGAATGCATAGTCAGATCTTCATGACTCACGTGAGTCATACGATGTATATCCTTATCACACTCAGGGGAATCAAACTGTGGCGTACCTCTCGTGGCAACTTCTACAGGCAAGACCTTTACCTCGCCTGGGTACCCAAACACCTACTTTCTGTGAGTAGTTACCATACTATCATGGCTAAAGACACAAATATATCTGTAAACATATATGTGATGGAAGATGCCTTATTCATTAAAATATTGTTTACTTCACCACAAATACAAAAGATATTTTCATAAATGTTTATGTCTGATACTCAACAACCCGCTTCAGTTTTAAGGTCCATGTGCATATATTCGCTGGGCGAAATATATTTATCGCACGTATTCTACATTGATAATGTCTGGCAGTTGATTCAGGATTGAGAAGGACAATTCCATCACAAAAGTGTCTCGGCATAATGGCAGTTGCCCATCTGAGTGTTTCACTTGGAACTGAATACATTCCTAGATTGCCGCAGAGTTATTGACTCCACAAATGTTTATTTTGCAAATATGTCTGAAACTATTTCCACATGTCTACTGGAACTCTCGACCCAACCGGCCACCTCTAAGTATTTGTTGTCGGATGTCTTTTCGAAAGAGGATTGTGTTTATTGAACACAGTTCTCTACTACTCCGTCGACAACACCATTGGCTCTTATGCTACCCCGAAAGCCAGGTGTCTACTAGTTCGTATAACAGAGTCGGGAACGTAAGTTAGTGTTGTCATGTTTATACAATTTAGTCAAATACTATTTATGCCACGCTCTTATCGCGTTCAGGCTAACACTGTTAAGGGGGCTAAGACGCGACCTGTAACAGCATCTACTGGTCAGTGCATGTATGTCATGACGTCGAATGTCACTAGACAGTATGAAATGAACATTTGTTGTTGACACACGTGCATATACATGCAGGCATGCCACAGAGTTTCAAATGACACTGCAGCGGTCAAATGGTCAAGTTGTAATTAGAACCAGTGATCATGTGATCGTGGAGCGGGTGAGTCACATGACTGGTGCGTGACAGTTGTTTTCACAGTGCCAGTCAGTCAGTATATATTTGTACAATTGCATACGGTTTTGCATTGGTTTACAGAAAAAAACAACTTTTTGAATGAGTAGGACACGTCTATTTTTATTCAAGAATATAGTAACTTGTTGTAGCAGAAGATATATTATATAAGGACATGCATGATAGCGGAACTTGAAATTAAGACAAGAGATATTATTGGATGAAATGGTCGCGGATGTGGAGGTACTGGTGGACTGCAGAAATGAGCTTAACCCCTGTTAAGCAACCCCAACTGCAGCAACCGCTGCCCTGCAACAACCGTTGCCAAGCAACCCATGTTGCTTACCGATGCAGCATCCGCTGCCCCGCAACTACCGTTGCCAAGCAATCCATGTTGCTTCCCAATGCAGCGCCTGCTGCCCTGCAACTATCGTTGCCAAGCAACCCATGTTGCTTACCAATGCAGCGCCTGCTGCCCTGCAACTACCGTTCCCAAGCAACCCATGTTGCTATGCAGCTATCGCTGCCAGGCAATTACCATTGCCAAACCATGAGCGAGGGCAACTATTGTTGCCAAGCTGTAAACAATAGCTGTTTACAATAGCTGTAAAGCGGACACTAAGCCATCTGCTGTAAAGCAGAATGGATAAATTGGTTCCTACTGTAAAGCGGGCAACCCTATCCTAAATAATTAATAATTTGGGATGTATCCCAAGACGCCAAATGTAACTTGTAATGCAGTCCACCAGCACCCCGCCACAAGCACCAAGGTGCTTCCCCACAACCACCACCATTCGCGCTCATGTACACCCACCGTGTTATCCTATACTAAAAATGTTTCCTACAAGCATACTGCGGAAAGGGAGCTGCCAATGTTTTGTGTGAATAAATCAAGTCCGGCCGGTGACAAATGAACCCCGTCACGCAGGTACAGTTGCTGCTCCTGCCGGTTGAACACTGTGTGGGGAACCCGTATCCCCCCAAGCTCACGGGCCCTGTTCCCCACTCGTCTGTTCAGCTTCTGCCTGGCCCCGTCCAGGTCCCGGGCACGGCTGGCTACATGCCAGTACCTCCGTGGCAGCATGTCTGACCACAGAATGACAGCACCAGGTAGGAGGTGTATCCTCAGGAGTGCCAGCTTGATCTCATGATATAGCTGACACGTGGTTACCTTACCCAGGTCGTTCGAACCAAGGTGAATCACCACCGCCTTTGATGGTGTCTGCATTGCTTCGACCTGGGCATCTATCAGCTTGGTCAGCTCCTCCCACCTCATGCCGCCCCTTGCCAACCAGAGACATCCCCCTGGAATACCGAAGTCACTGTCCTGTAGGTGCTCTCTCGCCCGGGTCAGGAGGCTGGACCCAACCAACCATACTGAAAACATGAATCAAAAGGAAGTAAACTGTTCTTGCATGGTTGGCGATTTAAATGTTTGCAGGTATGCGTATATAGCTTTTATAACATTCTGACCCCCACCTACCAAAGGGCTGTATCAAATCTGAACTCACTCCGTTACCGGCTGCTGTCGTTGCTGCGCCAATCCTGAAGGAATGCGAAGAGTATGCTGCTGTGCAGATGCTGCTATGCGCCAGTGCTCTTTTTAGCACGGCCTGAAATTGATACCTGTTCAGGGGAGATTTATCAAAGTGTACGAAAGCTTGAGACTGACCCTGTGATCAAACTGTTAGGTATGCTTTAACTGCAGCCACTGGACACAGATGGTGGCCAGTTATGGCGGAAATGGAAACAACTATGCCATGTGACTGCCTGTCCGTTTTTGAATGCCTTAGAGCGACTGTTACTGTCTTAGTCGTGTCTTGGACTTCTAGGTCTAAGAAAGCGCACCCTGGCTGAGAAAGTTTGGTTTGCACGAGTTCACTCAGCCGAAAGAAACCAAAGAAGGCCAAGCAATATACTGCTTTGAACAATCTTACTTCATAGGTAGAAGAGCAGACAAATTGCAGGTTGTTTACAGTTACTTTGAGCAGGTCTATTATTATTGGTTTTCTGTGATCCTGCCTCCCCTGACACTTTTGCATCCCGGTTATCATTTTAGTAATAACAAAGTGGCTGGTGCGGTCTTCCATGCTGTGTAGCCTATGGTACGTTGAGATACCGGCCATATACGTCCTTACCGTACTCGGTGCATGTCCTGACACTGACAGGTGAGCAATTAAATGTACCAGATGAGTTATTGGAACCGGCCAGACATCTCCCAGGTTTTGTGACGCCCTGAATGCTTGCAACGCTTGGGTTCCTGCCTGGTAAGTTGCCCACGTGTTTGCCGCCAATGATCGCTGAAGGAGCCTCTCTGCCTCGATTGTTAGCCCTGCCAGAGATTGTCTGGAAGTGGTGTGGGATACAGGTTGGCTGATGGAGCTGCATTGCGGAATCGTTCCCACTGAAATCTCGACAGTGCATCTGCGATAATATTGTCGTGTGTTGTTATATATATCTGGCCTTGAACAAAATGTTGTGTTTGAGGCACTGCAGCACTAGCTGCCTAATCAGTGACATGATTCTGGGTGCCTTTGAAGACTGTTTATTTATTATTGACACTACAGCTTGGTTATCACAAAAGAAAAGTACTTTCCTGTTAGCAAAGGCTGTCCCCCACAGACAAACTGACAGCACAATCGGAAACAACTCCAGCAGTGTCTTGTCACGAGTCGAGCCGTCCTCCACCCACTCAAGGGGCCAGAGCCCGTTTGCCCAGTTTGCCCAAATAATTGCCATGGGCATGGTTAGAATGCTTGTACAGTTGCAAATGTCGCTTTAATCTAGTGAGTATGAGTGGAGTTGGGGCCAGTGCCTTTAGCATGGGTTGCCTGTGTGTAGTTAAGTTGTTTGGAGGGTCTACGATCCCCCTTTGCGCGAAAGCAAGAATAGGCGGGATGTTGTTCGCCACAATTGGAGCATTTATGAATAAACTTGCATTCTGGCCTGGCGCACCTTGACCTGTTGTAGTCCAAGCATGCGTTGACTGTAAAGTCACGGCCCCTGCTGAAAGGCACTGTAAAGCGTTCAGTCTTATTTTCTTGAACACGGGACATAGTCGGTGTCATGTGCTTCAACCACAATTCACCGTCTATCTTGCCCCACTCCCGAATTGGGTCTCGTGCCATACGGTGTCGGAATTGCTGGTCGTAGCTTGACCAGCCAAAACCCCCGGAGCGGACTGCGGCGTTACAGATTGTTTCCATGTATGCCAACATGCCCTGTATGGTGGACTGACAAAAATGTATCACCAGGTAAATGCTCATATATATGTGGAAAGCTGACGTCCATTGACCTATGCTTAGTGCCCTGGTGTTAGCCGGCTTGGCCGGCGAGAATCGCAGATTACCCGACGAATCCATCTGCATCTTAAATGCATCGTCATCGTCATGCGACTGTGCGCCTGGCAACAATGTAGTCAACTCCACAAACTTCCCTCTCCATACTCTCTCCCGTACAACTTGACGGACGTGAGCGCTGATAGCATCCGCCTGGAAGGTCAGGGAATCCCCTGTTCCCTGATTGGTTGACCCCGCTCCTGACTTTGCACGTGGTGTGACGTCACGGGAAACTCCCGGCTCGCCCGAGTGTGCACTGCTAAATGACAACACATCGGGATTTCTTGACACCACCGACCCCGTTACCCCCAGATCATTTGTACTTACCCCTCGCATGCCAGTAAAGCTCTGAGAAGTATCTTGGGCCATCCGTTTGCCTAGCATATCCAGTATGCTGTTGAGTTGGCTCGATATAGCTAGCATCGACGGAACGGGCGACACTACTTGTCGGGGCTCTTCGATGTCTCTGTGATCGACTCGCGGGAGAACGTTTGAATCGTCCGAATCGTCTGCTTCAACTAGCAGGTTAGCAGCTATTTGTACACTTGGCAAGGGGGGTCCGTGCAATGGAGATCTAGCTGATCTCCGTGACTTACCAGTAGCCGATGTCGCTTGCTGGACACTTGGTTCCCTCCTGGCTGTTTTCCCGCTCCTTACGAGGCGGTGATTTAATGGTAATTGCAACGAACTATAGATGAATGCGCGAATATAACTATGTGTTGTACGGCTGAAAGCTGGAGAGCAAGTGCTGCGTGAGCTGATGTCACGCTACAACAGGTC